ATTGCATGAGTGAAAATGGCATCGGTTAATAAGAGAGTCGAGAAGTGTAACAAATAGATGAAAAGATGGTCTACATGAGAAACCAGAATGGGTGGCAGGCCCGTCTCAAGCTAGCAGTAATGACAAGGACACTAGCAAAAAGCAAAAGTAGAGAAAATCCTGTCAGGAGGGATAAGAGTCTGTGCCCACCACCTGCAGAACCATTCCCCTTCTGGGGGTTTTCTTGTTGCCTCTCCGGCACACCTGTTGTCACTATCATTTGCAACAAATGAGGGGCAGATTGATATCTCTTAAGTTTAACTGACTTTAAGTTTGCAGCCACACTTAAAAGATGACTAAAGAAGAGCCATAATTACTAAAATCATTTATTTTTCTCTGGCGGCTGCAGCTTCTCTCACACAACAGGGAAGATTCACTTCCCAGAACAAACCCACTCAGTGAGTTGGTGTACTGTGACATTGTTGAATAAAGCTCCGGAGACTGCTGAGGTGTTCATTCTTCATTTAAAATGTTCTTGCCTTTTCTTGCTGCTGTTGCTCTTCCTCTCTCGCCTGCTTTCTGAGCATTCGAGCCGACTCCTTAAACATGCACCACTGTTCCCTGACATGAGTTTGTCACTGGTCTGATTGACTCCCTGCAGTTTGACGCTTTTCTTTTTAACTTTTTACATTTTTAGGAACGGTGATTTGCAGTAAAAGACTGATACTGTGACAACCCCGACTTATAATATAAATTTTAAGACAATATTCCAAAATCCAGACTGAAATGCAAACGTTACAAGCTTGATGATCCTGCCAGTTCTTGACCTATAAGCTGCCCATGATTTAGAGTTGTAATATCAGGAGCATCATCAAATATAAGTATTTCACAGCAGTGGTCAGATCAGAAAATGTGTAAAACTCCAGTGGTCTGTTTTGGATTCATTGCATAAGGCAGTGCTTTTCTTTAATTAGAGCTCCTTGAATGTCACGTATAAAAACAGAGCTGAGAATTGCAAAATAATGAGTTTAACCCTTTAAAACCGGTC